CCATACAAAAGGGCATTGCGGCTGGAGTGCAGCAATCCATCTGGGCCAGACACTTTTCGGCTACTTTGGAAGCGGGATCCCTGCCTGCTCGATCCTTTGCGCATATGGGACATCATCAAACTCAGGTATTCCCAATATTCCTGACATACCAGTCCAAGGTCTTCGGGAGGAGGTGAAATTAGATGACCAGGATGTTCCCATGGAGGTGGGGTCGATCCATCAGATGGACTTGGGGTTGTCAGAGGCTGACCCACTAGAACGAGGAATGTCGGATGACGAAGACCTCATTCCGGACCAACCTACCTTTTCTGGCCTTTTTCGTCCACACCTCTTTAAATCTTTACTGTTCAAAGCAAAGAACACCGCTAAACTAGGCACATCAAGCCCTCATCCATCGTCAACAGGGTCTCAGGACGAATCCGAGGATCTAATATTCTCACAACTGGCTAATGAGGCAGAAACTATTCCTGTCCCTCGTATGTTTGCTGAATTAGTACAAAATCAATGGGCATCAGCAGCATCCTACCCAGCCCCAACAGGGTACGATAAACAATATTATAATTTGGCACCAGAGTTTTCAAATTTTCTCAAAACGCCGGAGGTGGATGAGCCCATTGTGGCACTGGCCTCTTCTTCAACTTTTCCCAACAAGGCCAAAGAAGCCCTGAGAACGAGAGCAGAGTTGGCACTCCGTAGGGCGCATGTTTCTGACGCCTGGGCCATTAGGGCAGCTACAGCTGCGTCCTTTTTTACACGGTCCTCCCTACGATGGCTCTTCCACTTGAGGGATATATTGCCGGCGTCAAATGTCAGAGCCCACCAGGACATTGCTAAGATTATTGCAGCGGCAGAATTCTCTGCCGACACCACATTTAATGCAGTCAAATTCTCGTCTAGAGCCATAGCATCTCACATATCAGCACGGAGACTGCTATGGCTCAGACATTGGCAGGCGGATACCAAGCATAAATGCAAGCTGGCATCAGCCCCAATATCGGGGGATAAATTATTTGGCAGTGTCTTGGAGCCCCTGCTTATTGAGAATAGAAACAAGAAAAAAGTGCTTCCCCCTCTTTTTCGGAGGTCTGAAAACAGAATGCCCCAGTCGTTTTGAAGGGGTTCCTTTCGGCCCTACTATCAAGGCCCATACGTTCCCAGATCGCAGAGAACATCAGGCCACAGGCCCAGTTTTAGACAGGATAGGTCAGAACCTTCCAATAGAGGTCAGTGGGGAGGCCAAAACAGAAGAAACCCCAGAGGTACCGGAGGCCGATTTTTTCATCGCCCCAAGTGAGTCCTTGACAGCAGCTCCCATTGGAGAGCGGCTAAAATTGTTTGCTGATCAATGGGACAGCTCCACCTCTGATGCGTGGGTCAGGGACTCTGTTAGGTTTGGTTTGGTGCTAGAGTTTCAATCCTCCCCCCCCGAACTTTTTCATTAGAAGCCCTAGGTCCATGGACCCCATTAAGAGAGCGTTGATGCAGGAGGCTATCAATCATCTTCTGCATATTCGGGCCATTAGAGAGGTCCCATCTGAACAACAGGGTCAAGGCTGTTACTCTCTATTGTTTATGGTCCCAAAGAGTTCGGGGGGCTGGAGGGCAATTCTGGACCTCAAACGTCTGAACAGATCATTGGTTTATCAAAAATTCAAGATGACTACTCTCCAGTCCATTCTGCTCAGCATCAGAGAGAATGATGTCCTGACCTCTATAGATCTGACAGAGGCTTATCTACATATACCAATTAGACCTGCTCACTACAAATATCTTAGATTTTGCTATTGTGATCAGCACTACTAATATATCGCCCTACCATTTGGTCTGGCTTCGGCCCCTAGGACTTTTACCAAGGTCCTAGCGGCTTTGGTTGCCTCCCTCAGGATCAAATCTATTCGTTTACAATGTTATCTGGATGATATTTTAATTTTTTCATCTTCCAGACATCAAGCAAATTTGGATACCAAGATTACTCTGGAGACCCTTCAAGGTCACGACTTTTCATAAATTGGGATAAAAGCCATTTGATCCCTTCAACTAGGTTAGTTCATTTAGGGGCAGTGATAGATACCGTGGAGGGCAAGGTTTTTCTCTCTCAGGACAGGTTGAATAGTATCCAGTCTTTGGCCAGAGAGATCAGAGCCTTAAGGAGGGTTTCCCTGGCAGTTCTGTCTCAACTGTTAGGGAAACTGATTTCTTGTATTTCCATTGTGCCTTGGGCTCGATTCCATTCTAGAGATCTGCAATGGTTCCTGCTACCTTTCCAGCGATCCAGAAGAGCCACTTCCAATGTCCTGATAAAGGTACCGCACAATGTTCTCCATTCGCTCCGCTGGTGGTCGGAAAACACGATAAACAAGGGGTGTCCTTTCAAGGAACCTTGCAGGGCAACGATCACAACCGATGCCAGCCTGGTAGGATGGGGAGCTCATTTCCAATCCCACACTGCACAGGGAAGTTGGACTATTTCCGAACAATCACAAAGCATCAACCTGTTGGAGCTGCGAGCAGTTCATCTGGCATTACGCAGTTTTCTACCCTTTTCCAATCACGCCACGTTCTGGTCTTGACAGACAATATCACAACCAAGGCCCACGTAAACAGACAGGGGGATACCCACTCCAAACTTCTGATGCTGGAGACGGCAAGGTTGTTCAAGTGGGCCGAGGCCAATCTGTTTTTACTCAAGGCAGAGCACATAGCAGGGGCCTTAAAACACACAAGCGGACTGGCTCAGCAGGGCCACGATAGATCAGACAGAGTGGCGCCTACACCTGTCTCTCTTCCAGGAAGCAGTGCGGAGGTTTGGGCAACCAGTGATCGATCTATTTGCCTCTCCCCTCAACGCCCAATTTCCCCGGTATATTTCAAGGTACCCGACTCAGGGGGCGGAGGCCGTCAATGCCCTACGATGTCAGTGGCCTCCCGGACTTCTATATGCATTTCCTCCACTCCCTGTAATACCCAGGTTGATCCAGAAGTTATTGGAGGAATGAGCAGAATTGATATTGGTTGCCCCTTACTGGCCCAGGAGAACGTGGTTCACGGACTTACAGGACCTGTCGAGAGAACAACCTTGGAAAATTCCACCATCGAGGGTTTCTCTCTTGCAAGGGCCGGTATTTCACCCGGACCCACAATGGCTCAGCCTAGCCGTATGGAGGTTGAGTGGAGCCATTTAAGGACTCAACAGATTTCAGAGGATGCCATTACCACCATGCAAGCATCCAGACGGTCCTCGACAAATCGTATATACGAGGCCACGTGGTCCGCTTTCTGTCGCTGGTGCCGGGGGTCTAAGATCGACCCAACCACCCCATCAATAGGACAATTATTGGACTTTTTACAGGAGGGGTTGACCAAGGGCCTATCTCCAAATACTTTACGCAGAGAGGTGGCGGCCTTAGCCTCGGTGATATCCTGGGGTGACCTTTGTTCCATAGCACACCATCCACATGTCCGCAACTTTCTTAAGGGTGCTGCAAACTTACGACCTCCTGTAATTCACCGCTATCCCATTTGGGAGCTCAACAAGGTGTTAACCGCACTTACAACTGGCCCGTTTGAGCCTTTAAGAACCGCTAGTCTCAAAATCCTGACATATAAGGTGGTCTTCTTAATTGCGATCACATCGGCAAGGAGGATTTCCGAATTGGCAGCATTGTCAATGGGAAAGGACCTGTGCGTGTTTCATGCAGACAGAGTGGTTCTCAGATTGGATCCATCGTTCACCCCTAAAGTAAATTCAGTCTTCCACAGAGCGCAGGAGTTGGTGCTTCCAAATTTTTGTCCGAAACCATCTCATAGACTGGAGCATCAATGGCATCGACTTGACGTTTGAAGGGCGTTAAGCATCTATCTAGACCGCACTGTGGCATTTCGAAAATCTGAGGCTCTATTCCTATCCTTCAACCCATCCACTTTAGGACATAAGGTGTCGTCAATGACCATTGGTAGATGGTTGAGAGCCACCATAGCTAAAAGTTACGAATGCCAGTCCATCTCAGTTCCTAAGGACATTACAGTCCACTCAACAAGGAGTGCGGCAACATCAGCAGCATGGGCCACACGGGCTTCCATAGACGAAATTTGCAGAGCGGCAACTTGGGCTTCACCATCGCCCTTTGTCAGAAATTATAAAATTGATGTCTACGCCTCAGCAGATGCTTCATTTGGCAGAAGAGTCCTGCAGAGGGTCCATAGAGTTTAGGAGTGGATTTCGATCCAGACGGAGTCCCTCCCTAAGGACAGGCCAAGCTTTGGTATGTCCCACTTCTGGATGCTCTGAACAGCTCATGGGAGAAAGGGCGTTGGTACTTACCTGATACACCTGTTCTCTGTGAGCTGTGAAGAGCATCCAGCCCCACCCATTTCTTTCCATCTGGTGGGGTTCCGTTCCGGTCAGGGATCTAGATTAGGTGATGAGTTCCGGACTTTGGCACTCAGTCTTCGCAAAACTGGGGGACGCTGGGGAGGTGTCCCTTGGAGGAGGAGGAGCGTCCCGGAGTTTTAAGCCCAGCCTTTCCAGAAGAGACTGAAGCACCTCCCACTTTTGGATGCTCTTCACAGCTCACAGAGAACAGGCGTATCAGGTAAGTACCAACGTCTATTCTATTCTATTCTATTCTATTCTATTCTATTCTATTCTATTC